CGAACGATGGTTGGGCTTCATGTGATGATTTTACTGCTGGCTTCGACCAGTCGAGTAGCATCAGCTACAGATATAGCGAATGAGATTCAAGATGCGGATATAAACCCGTGGAAACCAGAGACAATTAGACTGACTCTTAAACTCAAACCGAGGATTTATTACTTCGATGCAGAAGCGTTGCAGCAAGCTCTTCAGGAGAGACTCAATGAGAAGGCAAGTGCGTTAATAGCGTCAACGATGCGAAGACGTCGAAGACATGCGCAGCAGCAGTAGCAGCAGTAGTGGCAGCAGTTGTTGAAGTATATTATGGATTGTAAGGCTCAATATGGATTCAGCTGCCTGAACTGTACCAACAATGGCTCCGTAGAAATCTCACCAGTCTCTTCGTCGGGATGGTTTCCTCTCGCAGTTGTGTTTCCATGCTTTGCCATGCTATAAATTGTTTATGTTTGCTTGTTTGCAGTATACTTTATAAACTATTTCTGATTTGTGATAATGGCGATCATGATGCAGTAGGGAACGAGCACCGCAGTCGTGTAGAAGATTTAAAGATTCGACTCCCACGGTGGGTCAATCCGTCCCTGTTCCGATAGTAAATTGTTACTGGCATATATCAAGGAGTCAAACCCGCTATCAGCTTGCTTCTATAAAAAACCTTTGAAAGACGAAGCCATCGACAACCCTGCTAGCAAATAGTTACTGAACTTGACACTTGCTATAACTGGGGCTACTTCCTGAGTGACGAATAAGAGGAGAGGGTTTTGGTCTGATGTGTGATAAGCTCTTTTCTGATAAACTCTTCCTTGCTTCCTTGCTTTCACGCTTATTTAATTTGGAAGGTGAAAATTCGCCTATGGTACCTCCGCTCATCTTTATAGCAACCTAAGTTTTGTCTCTTTTTAGTTCCTCATTCTTCCCCTTAAGCGATTTCAGTGCTTCATAGCTGCAAAATTAGTCTTCCTCTTCTTCCCGATCGTCCTCCTTGCGCGTATTTGTTATCACAGATAATTTATGGAGTAAATGTACTGCAAAAAAAAAGAGAACTCTATTCTCAATTGCTGTTTTCACACGAAATCGGTGCGTTTCACACTAAAGTCGCCAGTTCTTCGAGTGGCTGAGCTGTAAAAGTTACATAGATCACACTGGCAAAGTTATGCAAAGTCAAATCGATTAGAGGTTATATGATTAAAAAACTCGAAGTGGCAGGTTGTTGCCAGTAGCAGACATATATGTATTTGATATTTGATGCGAAGAT